GTACCATTGCGCTGTCGATCGTTTCGTCTCTCATCTCTCGTCTATGCCGATCTCGAAAACGGCGGTAGCGACGTGTTTGCACAGCATTGAACTCGCCCTCTGCTCTACGGGATTCGATCCCTCTCCTGGCGTGCGCACCATGGGGTTGCCGACCGCAGTGCAGGGGGATGAGACTAGGAGAGAGAGAGGGAGTGCGAAGACTCGGTGGTACGCAAACCCATTATTATGATTATTATTCACGTAACTGAATCCTGCGCGATCGTGATCTTCCTGCTTTCTCTCTCTCTCTCTCTCTTTCATGTATATCTGGTTTTTAAATTCAAGAACAATAAGTCTTCATACTAAAATTTAATCTCCCCCTCTCTCTCTCTCTCTCTCTCTCTCTCATTTGTTACTACTGTTGTGCCGCATGAAATTTTTTAAACGATCTTTTAGCAGCAGTGTTGCAGAATTTTGGAATAGTATATGGAACATTCGCTGTATCACCTCTCTGCATGATTTTAAATACAAATTAAACAATAATTTGTTGAGCATAAATTTGACTTATATTTGTGTCCTACGTCTTGTTTTTCCATTAGTATTATCCTATTAGACAGGTATTCTGTTTTTTCAATTTCTTTCATCTTTCCTATTTTTATATTTTATTTCCTTTTTATCTTTATTTTTAAATCTTATTTTATGTATTCGATGCTTCCAACTTTTCTTATTTAGTTGTTCAATTATGTATTGTTTTTTGAGAGAATTCGCTATTCTAGAACGCTTAATAAATAACGATATCTACCTTTCTTGCTGGTTCTCTTATATCCGACATTATTTTATAGTTCAGTATTCCTTGTGCACTATTCGTTATAATCAAAGATACTTCTCTGACAGTCATATCTACATATATTATCTAGAAATATTTAGATAATTCAACACTATTTTATAATTAGTTCGATGTTGACGTTATCAACATTCGTTAACGTGTAAACAATAAAAAACGCAATTGTAACGGCGCTTGTTTCAGATAATAAAGATCTGATATCACCGACAGGTTTTCGCGGACAGCTCGATAGGTCAAAACTTTTCGGAAAAACGGAGGGAAAATGGAGAGGTGGGATAAAAGCTACGATAGGCGGGTCAGAAGGAGGGGGAGGGGAGGGAGTGTAATTTGCCTCTAATGCGACACTCGATGTAGCAGCTGGCTTCACCGGCCCTCTGCTTTTCCATTCGCCACTCGGCCGCAACCGGCAACAGTAGCGATAATAATAACAATACTGGTAACAATGCCCAGGAGTGGCTAGGCATTGTAACACCGCACCGCGCGAAGGGGAAGGGGGGGGGGTGCCGGGTACTTGGAGTAACAATGCGAGCGCAAAATGGAGGGACCCCATCTGTGTGTGCCCCGTGCCAGGGGAACAAGAGGGAGGACGTGCTCCGGAGGGAACGGAACGAGAAATCGGCGGGACGGGAGAGACACCAACGAGATAAATGCAATGCGTCGTCACGCGCTCTGATATCGTCGCCATTTCTTTTTCTGTAGATTGCACATCCTCGCAAGAGATTTCCTATCGAGATGGCGGGCAGCCGTTCGTTCGTGATTTTGCGATTTGGTGACCGCGAGATCGATATAGTGATTTGAAATACGATTGTGTTAAAAAAAAGTGTTGGTAGCAGCGAGACATGGAGAAGAACTGCTAAATGTTAGATATTATCGTATTTATATCGTATTCGAATAAACATTTATGAAAATATATGAAAAGAACAGTTTTGCTGAAGTATCTAAAAATTTAGATTTGAAAATAGTTTTGCTAGGCCATCAAAATAATTATTTAGGATATTTAAGCGAGATAAGCAATGCTATATAAAAATTGTAATATTTAGCAATCAGGTTGAGTGTCTCTTGATTATTTTGATAACCAACCAAATCATTTTCATGATCTGCATCTAGCTAAATTTTTAGATACACATGGAAGAAAAAAGGTTTTGCTGAAGTATTTAAAAATTTAGCAAGATACAAATTTAAAAATAATTTTGTTTGGACCATTAAATTAAATGTGTGGACGCTTAAAATGTTAAAACTTTTTGCAGCATTGCAATTATTAATGTTGAGTGTTCTATATAATTATTTTCATAGTCTAATGAAATTCTTTTCAGATTTATATCTAGCTAAATTTTTAGATACTTTGGCTGTTCTTTCTAAACAGCAGATATTTTTCTGTGTATGTATAATGTGATCTCTAAAACGCGAAATCATGTAATTCGTATTTTACAAAGTGTGTACAATGATAGACAGACTTATATATGTATATATTGGGAGAAACGTAAATTGCTCGCAATTTCCTTCCCTCGCTCGATCACGTGGCTCCCACGATCACTGCAATCTTCTATAAAACTCGTCGAAACTTATGTACCGCTTGTATTCATTCGTCTCGGATGAGCATGAAAATCTCGGCTGATTGCAATCAGGGCTCTTTGCCGACTTCCGTGCTTGACATGGAATCGACTCGTCACCATCGCTCGAAGGCCCGGGCTTCGTGCGGGCGCTCGACTCTTCCGGTTTAAGGAAGCGTTCCGTTTCCATTTTGAGAAATCTCTCGTTCACTGTGTGAAGCTTCTCTTCAGACCTAGCTACCGCTAATTAGTCGTTTTTTTATTCGCTCTTTTTTTTTGCAGTAAATAGTTACAAATACACGACATGCGTACTTTTTGAGAATATTTCCAAGGAAAGCATGTGAATATTTACTCTTTGTGTTGAAATTATTTCTCGCAAATTAGTGAATATAATCAAATATATTTCAATCGCAATTTTATCAATATAATTATTTCATTTTATCTTCACTGAGAGAAAATGATTGCAATTACCACAATTTGACTGTAATTTAAATATGCACGGAAAGAACGGATTTCGTTAAATTATTGAAAAATATAAATAGATAAGAACATAATTTTGTTGGCAAAATATATTATGTGACAAACACAGATATGATAAGCAATCCTGAAAAAAATTTTACCTTCTATAAGCAATCAGTTTGAAAGTTTTGAATAATTATTTTGATAGTTTAAAATTTATTTTCAGATCTGCATCTATATAACTGAATTTTTAGATACTTCAGCAACACCGTTCTTTCCATGGGTCTTTTTCGGTGGTAGAACTATATATATTTGCGATAGAACTATAATTTATTACTAACACAAATTACAGTAATAACTGTAAAAATTCAGTTCCTAACCATAATTATTTTTCCATGCAATTATAAGTAAAAAAATAGCAAACACTTGGAAATTTCTTTCAGTATACGTTAATCTAATATTAATAAATGAAGTTTTATTACTTTGAAGAATTTGTACAGAGATCAAAAAGGGACTGTAAAAGATATTTTAAGATTTTTATGGCGCTTAGCGCTGGTTGAGTTAAGTTCCATCGATAACGTCGTCCTTGTTGCATTACAAATGTCGCGATGACAAACGGACAATTCGACGCGCTTGTTTTCAAAGGGCTGATAAGTGAATTGAACCGCAGACGGAGAGACGAACGGTAGACGAAACGATAGACCGAACGAGGGGGAGACCCGCGCATGAACGTGCATCAACGCAGGATGCGGCCAATGAGCCACGTAACAATTATTTATTGTTGCCAGACCGCTATACCGCATCTCGAGCCGGCCAGACCTGTCTGCGTTCAATGAAAATGAATACACTTGTTAAAATCGGCGTATACCGGAACCAGCTATCTTATCCGCTTGGTAGATGATAACTACCGTGGATCTTCGTCAAGGTTCAATAAAATTGTGCGAAATATATTTAACGGACGAGTATATAGTTTGTCCCACGATTAACGTATTGAATATTAGATAAAGGAATCAATTAGCTAACAGTTCATCATATCTTCTACCATGGCACACAAAAAAATCTTAAGCAGTGGCTAATCACAGTAGAGACTGTAGTAAGTGCAGGAGCACTCACTGCACATTCAAGGGTGTAAAAAGTGATATATGTATGTAATTTAATTTTCTGTGTAAAAATGACCATACACATTTAAATGTGTAAATCTATTTTTATATGTGATTATTTTTACTAATCACACACACACACACACACACATATATATTGAAGTCACTTTATACACTCTCGGATTTGCAGTGCAGTCTTGCATATAACACATAACGCGTAAAAAATATAGCAATCAAAGTTCTTCATTTCCTTCCTTCCTATAAAATAAAAGCCTCCGATTGATTGATTTTCTTATGCTTTATGCGTTATGCAAAGGTCTGTGCTCCGGCTTAAAGATTAAGGTGCTTACTGCATACGTCTTATTGTTAAGTTTTTTTGTGTGCCATAGCTGCAGGGTGATTAACGAGACTTCCTGATTTTCGGCTCTCTATAAAGATGTCCCGAAAGAATCCTAGATTCTTTGCCGCCATTTGTCACGATTTATTAAATTAACATACCTTCAACTACTTTCAACTTTAACGACCATCGTCTGATGTAATGAAAATGATACACCCAATAACAAACTAGAAAATAACAAGTCCATATTTAGAATATAAGACATCTCTAAGATATTTCAAAGATGTCTCAAAGAACAGTTTAAAAGATTCTACGTCTCGATTTTTAACTTTGTGTTGTTTGCT